CAAGAAGCCATCCCCCTCCCTGAAAATATGGCGAGGAAAATGGAAATGAATACGATACCGTTTGCTTAGACCGTCAGTTAACATCATCCATCAGGTAATCAGTCGATTGGCACCAGAATGGTTGAGAAGCGACGTATTCAGCGTTTGTTCGAGGTTGACATGGAGGCTATGGTGTCAGGAAGATATGAAAACTTATGGACAGTTGTGGAGACAGTCAAGCAGGACTGGAGGGGCCGGATCAAATGGAGATGTGCATTAGAAGCATTATATTCCACTCGGAAACCAAAATAATAATAATATTAACAATAACAATTACTATAAAGCAGTAAAGTAAGTGAAATCATAGAAAAAGGGAATTATCTATTCACCAATAAAACTGTCTCGTTAGAGTTAATCTGCACGTTTATTGCCCTTTCTGGTGTTTGAAACGTGTGCATGATATTCTAAGCTGATATCGGCAGATGCTAACAAACTATCTGTAGAAACAATTCAATGTTCATGTAAATAGTTAACAGATCTCGTCAACTGTTCACAAATGATTAGTTCATCACATGTAGTAACAGGAAAGGTTAAAATAGAAGTATGAACAATTCAATGAAGACAAGGAGAGAAAGAGTTAGACAAGAGTACCAAGTCAATATCGAAAATAGAAAAAAATCAATACATGATAATTTAACAACTCACAGTTCTCCTATCCATTCGCATTCTCCATAATCTCCTCGCTTTCAATACAATCAACTTGAATCGATCTACTGGAATGTAAGACGAATCAGATGACACATCATTCTCAGGGAGACCATGATAAGCCATGTATTGAATCCCACGTAGTTCAGCCAACTTTGAAAGGTGTTTATTAGAACCAAACCAAAAGCCGGGGAATAATTCAACAGGACATGAAGTACTCGGAAGGAATAAACTCAGTGTCAATGCAGCACCATGCATTCCGATTAATATATCCGTATTCATAACTAATTTGATCTGTTCAGACATGGGTAATTGAACTAAATCGATAAGCATTGAATTTCGGAAACCCATTTGTTTTAATTCACTCAACAGCTTTTCTTCGTTACTGATTTTTCGACTGACATGTCCTTTCATATTACGTGGATGGGCAATGTGATTACGTCGACTGATGAGAAGAATGTGAGGATGTGATGATTGGTTCAGGGGTGTTCTTTGACATCTACTCACCTCGTCAGTTAACTGGTAGCTTTCAAGGATAAAGTTTCTGAATTCGTCGACAAATATTTCTCCAGTTGGATTCGACTCAACATACAAGGGACTTGCATAACCATATGGAACCAATACAAGTTTAGCGATGTGTAGATAATCATACCGGCCGATGGGCACAGTTCGAATCAGACTGTGATTTGTTCTTACCATCCTTGTCTTCTTCTGCCTTGAACGTCTTCTGTAAACCCCTATTCCGGATATTGAATTGTGGAACAATTCATACCACACTTGGTCAAATCTTCCAACAGGATGACCATCCGCCAGCAAGATGTGCACATCCTTTGATGATAAGTGGAGTAATTTCATTGTTAAGAATGTGTTGTACCAATCAGTCATTGTGTGATACAGATTGACGTATTCCACACGTGTGACTATGAAGACAACTTTCTCCTATGAAAGCAAACAAACAAGGGGGATTAGCGTTTGTTGAATATATTTCAGTAAGCATCAATTTTAACTGTGAATAAAATGCGTTTTATTTCAATATGGGAACATTTACTGAAGGTTTGCATATATATGGGTCATTCAGGAATATGTTCATCTTGCTCGTGTGTCACAGTACTTTGAATATCTTCCACTGTAACCTTACTTTGAAAGTCTTTCCTATCCATAATATATCAGTTGAATATAACTGTGAAATTTTCAACTGTACTGACACACTGGATGGTGGACGGGAATCCTATGATCACAGAGATGGAAGGTGTCCAGCATTAGACTCATTGATGACAACAGATTTCGTTCTTACTGATGTTAACACCAGCACTTTACAATAACTTTTGTGGTCTAAAACGAACATATCACACTCACCCACTGATTGTGTTTCTCTCCTTTGACTTCTGCCTGGAACACAGTTCTTCCAGACTGGCCTGTGAAGTCTTGCTAGTGATGATTCTGTTTTCTTTAGGTGTGTGCAGGTTGCTAGCCCCACTTCCAATCTTCCTCCTCTCCGTCAAGCTTGGAAGTGCTTAGGCGTGGTCTAGGAGTGCATCCACCAGAAATAGGAACTGCATCAGGTGTGACATGGCTGGTTGGCATTCTTTGTCATACGGTCTTTGAGTGACAGAAACAGCATTTCGATTCCTTTCCTCATCCTAAGGAGAGGTGTGTTCAAACATTCATGACTGGTTTGTTTACGGAGACAATAAGTATTTCCAATTTCGTGTTCCATAGAGGGATTTTATTGACTCTTATGTAAACTGCGAAATAGCATGCAGCAGTAGAAGGCTGTTTTGTCCGCCCTACGAATTCCTTAAAATTGTGCATCCATGTTCCCACCATGGGTTGAATTCTAGACTAGCAGTTTATGAGGTAATCCCGTTGACCACATGGTCATCGGGTTGAAATTCAAGCACTCGTGCTCTCCAGTGTTAAACCATACTCTGATAGTCCGGAAAAATACAAGAAGTTTAGCTGATCCACTTAGACTCTTCTTTGTAATATGCTGATTGGTATTACTTCTCCAATAGTCATCGACTAGTTACGAAATCCACCTTCATAGAAATTGAATCACCGTAAACCAACAATTGAAGGTAGTGTTGAATCCTTTTCCATACTACCAGTTAGTGACTAATGTTCATTTAGGTTAACAATGAGAATTCAACTTCAACATTACACCATTCACTAGATTACTGCTGCTAGTCAGTGTCTCGCATAATCTGATTCACTGTGTGTTATGCCAGCCTTGTTACTGAATGTGTACTCATTGAGATCCCTAGGAGACTTTCGCCGAACTTCAACGTCTCAAAGGCCTTTCTTCATGTTTCACTTGAAGTTCTTAGCTCGTTTATTTCACAACATGGCAAAGTATTCATGAAACAGTCTTCTCAGTTTAAATCACGACCAAATACTAAGCAAATATTTTTTTATTGTTTTGTCTCTATGTCACTTGTGATTTATATTCCTGTCTCATCACACCTATAAACTCTCACATCAAACTGGAAATGTAACATTTGACGGAATTTCTCATCGTTACTATGTTGAATTAATTCTGCAAAGGTATATATTGAAATGTGATGAAACAGCTTTTGATGAAGGAATCACCTCGGAGGGAATCAACATGGTTAAATACGCTGATGATCTGACTGTTCTGTTGCCAGCTTCGTTGCTATCTGACTGTTTCAAACTGAACAGACTAGTGGGCTGTACTAAACGGTCTTTCACTGAATCATTCCAAGTGTCAGATACGTAACTTCACCTGAAGGCATAAACGTGATCTACACGTACTTGTGCGTACACATGATGTTTGTAGCACAGGGAACATTGAAACAGAGACTAAATCAAACATTAAATAACTTCAACTAGTTCTATCCTCCGGCTTTTCTTCGTCATCCCACAAATTGTCATCGATTTCAAAGAAAATATTTCATGTTATCTTCTACGTTATCTATCAACGTCAGTCAACCTCCTTTTTTGGAATTTGTTAACTCTTGCATCTTGCCTAGTGTCCCATATTGCTCCAAATCAGTCCTTCTTGGTCTCCTGACTCAATAAAGATTAGGTCATATTGATTGCGAAGGATACTGAAGGTTATCGCCACGGAAAGCAGTGTTCCGCTAAGTCAGCTTATTACTTATTAGTTAATATGCATCTGAACTCATGTGAGAAATGAGGGAAAGCCCTATTGTCTGACTCTCGGCGGCCTCTTTATTCTCAACTCTCCCCCCTCCCACAACTCGTACCTCATCAGGTAGGACTACAAGTCATTATAAGAGATTATATGCTTATAGAATCCCAGTGTGCAATTATGCACACTTCCATCAGTAGTGAAGACGCTCATGTGGTTCCTACTGTACTGTACTGTAATGTACTTTGTCAAAATTGCCAAAGTGAACGCAAAACTGCTGAATTTCAAAAAGACAGATTTATAGATCATGATCATATATGAAATGAGTTTAGAAAATTCTTGGTAAACATCATATGTGAGTTGAAATCCCATTGATTCTAGCCACAGCGAAACTCCTTTCACTCCTTCTGATTTGTCACCAAGTGAAAGACAAACGTTTAATCAATATACATATTACCATGCTAGCGAATAAATGAGCTGAGAATGTCCAATCAAGCATGAAAGAGAAGTCTGAAACCCATTGAAATCCAGAAGAAGTTTCTCAATTGTCGTCGCAATAAACTTGTACACTATTACTCTTCAATAACTTCGTCGATGTTACAAGTAGAACGGTGATTGTATATCCCTTAACATTTTTTAGCGAATAAACGTAAATTCTGTCACACTTAGAGTTATTCAAATTAATTCAGAACAAACACAGAGTTTTCTGGATTCTACGCAGAACGATCAATTATATATAATGATAATATACAGATTTCAGATTATAATTGGTGTGCATTTCCTACCTCATCGTACTTACGATCAAAACTCTTCAGCTGCATAAGATCGACTGGTTGTATGCACTTGAGAATGGCGGGCGAATTTCTTTCATTTGTACTCAGTGATTGACTGAAATAAGATTTCAATAAAGATAGTTGATGGAAACAGATGAATTAGATTCACATGAGATTTTGTTTTCGACTAAATAAAAAGGATGAAATACTCTTCCTCATCCTATCGTCATGAGGAGTAGAGGAAACACCAACTAACTCGACGTCAACGATGGACGAGGCTGTGGTAGAAGACATATCTATTTACGAATGTACCTTAATATTTTGGAAAGTATAAAGGATGTGAGGAAGTGGAGTGATATTCGTGGTAGCTTAGAAAACCCTTAGCATAGAACACCTATCTGGAAGCCCTGAATGACTTTTCACTGTATATGGGGTTCCATCCATGTGGTGATTTGATTTGCTGTGTGGACGGTGTGCCATGAATCTGATCGGTGACAGTGAGACGGTGGAATTCATGAACTACATTTAATCAAACACTCAACTCACAAAACAATATTAGCTTTAGTGTCCATCATCATCAGAATCATTCAACTGGTTAATCTGAACGTGAGTGATCGAGCACTCACGCTATTTCACACTGTCACGCTTCTATGTTCATCTGGTTCGTCTGCATGATATCGAGTTGGTTGAGGAAGCATTTCTTGTCGAGAGTATAGATCCCGAAACACGTAATCTGCTCTATCCAACTGTTATACTGATTTGTCTTGTTTACTAATTGTTCTCCGTCGACATGAAGTGAATACATTTTGCGTTGGAGGACTTACACACTGACGTACTTATATTATCAGAATATTTCTAGCTAGACAGTTAGTTACTTCATCTACCAGTGGTTATCTGCTGAAGTTGAACTTTCAAAATATCAAATTCTGTATAACTGCAGAATAGCTGAGGTTATTGAGATGTCTTGTTTTTCACTTTATGAAAAAGATGTTGCAACGACAGCAACAATAAATTCAAAATGATCAAAATTGATCTACACTTCTCCAACTTTGAAGAAATTCACAGTTAACTACTCACAAGTTGTCAGCAGTATGTGTAGCACAAAGTGAATAACATGACAATGTTCCACCGGGAGAAAATGTCTACTCAAGTGTTGGTTTGCAGAGATTTCGTTGGTTTCAGGATTCCATGTTGACCTGAAATCGCTTAGAGAAGCATTGGAAAACGTGGGAGTACTGGATGTCTGTTTTCGCCTAGTTTCTTGCTCCTCAGTACTCCCAGGCTTTCATATGCTTCTCTAACCGATGTGAGATCATGATATAATCCATAAAATATCTCTGTTTTAGTGCATTTCGAATGCATTCCAAATAACTGCTGACCCTCCAGGATATGAACATTTGAATACAAATTAATTTGGGGGCAGAGGCGAAATTTGACAGTAGAGTGGTTAGAGAGAAATTATTGATGAGCTCTGTAAAATGTGATTCTTCACTTGCATCTGTAACGTAACACAGAAAATCTCACTAGTCGATGTTATTCCATACTCTTTCAACTCCTCTTCATACGATCTCCTCCATGTCATTCTTGCACTGACGTCCCACTTGCTGCCTCCATTTCAGATTCTACTCGAGTGATGGCCTGACGCGCGATGTCACTCAGCTGCCTCCCTAGTGAGTGTCCAATCCATCTCCACATTATCCTGAATATTATTTGGGTGATTGCCTTTTGGTATTTTGTTCCCATAGTTTCTTGTTGGTGATTCTTTCCGGCCCGGCCATCTGATCTTCAGTATAGAGCCAGCGAAGACAGTTGTTGATAAAGGTCTGCAACAGGCTGCTGCAAATATTCTTTGTGACCAGCCAAGTTTCTGATCAGTATAGAAAAACTGAATTGGCGTTTGTATTGAAGATCAGTCCGAATTTTGTTGTTGATGCTGAGTGACGAGGATTTTCAGATTGGTTTCAGGTTAATGAATGTGTTTCGCACCTCCCGATTCTCGATTTGACATCCGCGTGCGATCCTACTGTAGTTGAACCAATGCTCCCTAGACACGTGAATGAAGTAACCTCTTTCAAATCCCTCCCGTTGATGGTGATTGGCCCTGGATGTTGCTGTTATTGTTCTTGCTGGTTGCCTTTTTTCATAACTTCCG